AAATACACAGAACACCTCTTTTTATGTTTACACCCCTCCCTCTATTAGCTTAGGCTACAAATAACAGTGAATGGATGGATAGACTATATATCCATTGCACTTTGGATTTTTGCTCATCTGAAGAAATCGGCGCAGATCATTGACAATGCATGCACCTGCTCTGGTGAACGAATAAAAACTAGTTTAATCTGTGATCATGTTAATTCATAACCATTTCAAAATGTGAAATAGTAATACTGTAAAAACCTTAGCACACATGCACATACACACACACACACACACACACACACACACACACACACACACACACACACACACACACACACACACATAAATTACATACATACATACATGCATACATTCATGCTACACACATCACAACTGCTGCTACCAGACTCTTATTTACTATTGCTAGTACTGCACAATTCAAATACTTGACCCCCAATCCCCACTTCCCACTTAATGTGTTGTGAAAAGTGTTATGAAATGTAATGTCATGTAATATTTTAAATTGAATATAACTGCCTTAATGTTGCTGGACCCCAGGAAGAGTAGCTGCTGCCCTGTATATATAGCCTCCCTACTGTTCTTTTATTTTACTTCTGCTCTTTTTTTTCTCAACACTTTTTTTGTTGTTGTTTTATTTTAACTTTTTTTGTTAAAAATAAATGCACTGTTGGTTAAGGGCTGTAAGTAAGCATTTCACTGTAATGTCTGCACCTGTTGTATTCGGCGCATGTGACCAATACAATTTGATTTGATTTGATTTGATTTAATGGGCATCTTTAATAAATACAAATGTGTAAATATTGTTCTATAAATTGTGCCTTCCTGTATTATACTTATGCTAAAATGTACTATTATATTCTACTGAGCCATTTACTTTATGTTTGTAATTCTTATATTTTCTTCTTATTGTTGTTGCATTGTCGAGAAGGAACCTGCAAGTAAGCATTTCGTTGGACAGTATACAGCCATAGTCAGAAGTTTTGAGAATGACACAAATACAAATTTTCACAAAGTCTGCTGCCTCAGTTTTGATGATGGCAATTTGCATATACTCCAGAATGTCATGAAGAGTGATCAGATGAATTGCAATTAATTGCAAAGTCCCATGAAAATGTACTTAATCCCCAAAAAACATTTCCACTTCATTTCAGCCCTGCCACAAAAGGACCAGCTGCCATCATGTCAGTGATTGAGTGTTGATGAGGACAAGGCTGGAGATCACTCTGTCATTCTGATTGAGTTAGAATAACAGACTGGAAGCTTTAAAAGGAGGGTGGTGCTTGAAATCATTGTTCTTCCTCTGTTAACCATGGTTACCTGCAAGGAAACATGTCATCATTGCTTTGCACAAAAAGGGCTTCACAGGCAAGGATATTGCTACTAGTAAGATTGCGCCTAACTCAACCATTTATCGGATCATCAAGAACTTCAAGGAGAGAGGTTCAATTGTTGTGAAGAAGGCGTCAGGGCGCCCAAGAAAGTCCAGCAAGCGCCAGGACCATCTCCTAAAGTTGATTCAGCTGCGGGATCGGGGCACCACCAGTGCAGAGCTTGCTCAGGAACGGCAGCAGGCAGGTGTGAGTGCATTTGCACGCACAGTGAGGCGAAAACTTTTGGAGGATGGCCTGGTGTCAAGAAGGGCAGCAAAGAAGCCAAAAGGTACAGGGATTGGACTGCTGAGGACTGGGGTAAAGTCATTTTCTCTGATGAATCCCCTTTCCGATTGTTTGGGGCATCCGGAAAACACCTTGTCCGGAGAAGACAAGGTGAGCGCTACCATCAGTCCTGTGTCATGCCAACAGTAAAGCATCCTGAGACCATTCATGTGTGGGGTTGCTTCTCAGCCAAGGGAGTGGGCTCACTCACAATTTTGCCTAAGAACACATAAAGAATGGTACCAACACATCCTCCGAGAGCAACTTCTCCCAACCATCCAAGAACAGTTTGGTGACGACCAATGCCTTTTCCAGCATGATGGAGCACCTTGCCATAAGGCAAAAGTGATAACTAAGTGGCTCGGGGAACAAAACATCGACATTTTGGGTCCATGGTCAGGAAACTCCCCAGACCTTAATCCCATTGAGAACTTGTGGTCGATCCTCAAGAGGCGGGTGGACAAACAAAACCCCACAAATTCTGACAAACTCCAAGCATTGATCATGCAAGAATGGGCTGCCATCAGTCAGGATGTGGCCCAGAAGTTAATTGACAGAATGCCAGGGCGGATTGCAGAGGTCTTGAAAAAGAAGGGTCAACACTGCAAATATTGACTCTTTGCATAAACTTAATGTAATTGTCAATAAAAGCATTTGACACTTATGGAATGCTTGTAATTATACTTCAGTATACCATAGTAACATCTGACAAAAATATCTCATAACACTGAAGCAGCGAACTTTGCGAAGACCAATACTTGTGTAATTCTCAAAACTTTTGACCACGACTGTATACCATGTGTATCCTGTACATATGACTCAAAAAACTTGAAACTAATTTGAAATAACTTCTTAAACCTTTCACTGTCTAAACTTTGCAAAATGATACCCACACATGCCTAGTTACTGATTCTTTAAATATTTCAAAGTTCCATAAAAAATATACGAAACATATTTGAAAACTTAGTTCATGTGTGAAAATGAATCGATCAATCTAGCAATTGGATCTAGCTTTGATCTCTGAAATTGAACAGTGGCTGGTATACGGTGGGTTAACTGGGTCTCAGAAAAAGTGGGTATGCAGGCATAGATAAAATCTAGATATTGTATATCTGGGATACAGACTGGTAGTTGATGTAATGATATCTGTAAAAACAAAGGCATATGGGAGGCACTGAGTAGCCTACTTAAAATAAAGCATATTAGACAAATTGACAAATGCTCTAGAGTCCAAGCAGTGCCCTTAGGGGTAAAACAACATGTTTATACGGTCAATTACTGGATTCTGGAACTTCATTTTGATTAGATAATGAAAGATTATGATATTAAAACAGTACGTATATGATATCTGAGGAGTTACAAATGTGTGTATTTCTGTTTCATCACATCTGGAGGCTATAAAGGGAAGGGAAGGGAAAGGGGATATCTAGTCAGTTGTACAACTGAATGCATTCAACCCAAATGTGTCTTCCGTATTTAACCCAACCCCTCTGAATCAGAGGACTCATTTCTAAGGAATATCATATTGATATACTGTTTTTCAGTGGTAGCTTGCTTTTGAAGAACACAGGTAGACACATGTACAACAAATACAAAGGTGATATACTACGCAGGCATTCATGTCCATCACTACTACTCTGGAAAACCTGCCTCTGATTACATGAAGGGGTTTGTAAGACCAGTGGAGGCTGCAGACATATTCCATAATATACAATAATGTTTTCTTCCCATCATACTTGACTCTCTGTACACCATAGACTAGCATTCAATATTTTGTAGTGGTGATGGTGGAGGTGGTTGTTATACCAACTCTGCACTTTCAACAAATAATTTCCCTCCACTATTAAAAACATACCTTTCAGTTGTGAGAGCAAAGCTGGGTTTGAACAAGACCCGTTTTAGTGTTGTCTGCTCCCCCTGGTGGATGTACACGTTCTTAGGGTACAGTAGTGCACAGATTATATATTCTGACCAAACAAAGGTTTACACCTGTAGGCCTATGTTACCATTAAACACATCCTTTGATTTAATTACCAAATCTTTAAGAAGAAAATAGGTAATACTTGTACATACATGATTATCTGGAGTCATGTGAAATCACAAATATAGGTCATTAACTCAGGTCACTGTGATATGCATCATAATGCTGTTTATGTGTTTATTACATCATACATTACATCCCGTCTAAAACGTCTGTAAAGGGAAATAATATGCATATACTGTTGTTCTTTAGCAACTTAAAGTTTATTACAATCTGAACCATATGTAAGGGAGGAATTTCATATTCTCATGCCAGACAAAAATCACCTAGGGGGGAATTCTGAAGGATGCTTATTAAAAGTTTCAGTATTATTGCATTTTATTGGTGGCTCGAGGGTGGCAATGAGATGCAAGCCTCATATGAAAATAATAACATCTTAGTTAGCTGTGATTTATCTGGAAATTTAACATTCAAATTAGAGTTGATATGGAAGACAATTTCATGCCAGGGTTGTTACCACAATAAACCCATCGGGCTGTGTGTTTTATGTAAATATGTTGTCATCCAAGGTTGACTGAACAATTCGGCGCTTGCAGATTTCATTGTCAAGCATATCGATCAATCACCTGAGTGAGTAATCTCACATATTTGATAAAGTTTTGAGCTTTTGTCCATGTGCAGTGAATGAACAACCAATATTGACAGGTACATGAATAGATACAGGTTATGTCCACTTCTATTACATGCGTATCAAATGCAGTAGGTCGAGTAGAAAGAGATGATCAAATAGAAGAAGAACCAGCAAAACTTTAACATTCAGGTGTATTACAAAACGTGCAGTATCAGTATCAGTATCAGTATCAGTATCAGTATCAGTATCAGTATCAGTATCAGTATCAGTATCAGTATCAGTATCAGTATCAGTATCAGTATCAGTGGCTCATTTTCAGAGCCAAGATCAATTTGGTTTGATACATTGGAAAAATGTGCTGCTAGCACAGCCTACTGGACAACAGGGGTAAATAGTTTTCAAAGCCAAGGCACAGGCAACCAAGTATTGTGTTTTAAAGTTATCTCCATTGCCATCATCCATTGTTATGAGAAAGCCTTTACAGTATAAGGCATGCTAATCAACAGCCACAATTTGGGCCATCCATCCACTCTGAAAGGGCTGAGACGACTTGGACCACAGAGAAGGGTGAAGGCAACTAACAAGCTTACAGAGAATGACTTGAAAACATCCCAGTAATGCCACTGAGAATGTCACATTACTTCCTGGGGAGAGCCTGATGTGTTAAATGTTACATGATGAAATAGCAGTATCTTATTCTGTTATGGAGTATGGTGAAACATAAATGCTGCAGGTAACTGTGTTTTCAGGGCAAAATAAGGACAGTATGCTCTCATGTTCAATGAGAGGTGCCCACTTCAGTGTAACATTATCCAGTTATTGGTCTTGTAAATGTTAACAAATACCTGCAACCCTCAGTCGAAAATCACTATGGGTAGAAAGGGCACATCATGCTCTGCTGCCTGCTTTAAAGATCTGCAGTTACTGAGGAAGATGGCTTGGCTTTCTGACATTGGGCAAACAGTGAGCCCCTTGGACTTAATCCTTCTAATATATCATGCACTACCATTCAGAAGTTTGGGGTCACTTAGAAATGTCCTTGTTTTCGAAAGAAAAGCATTTTTTTGTCCATTAAAAGAACATCAAATTGATCAGAAATACAGTGTAGACATTGTTACTGGCTATTGTAGCTGGAAACTGCAGATTTTTTTGTGGAATATCTACATTTACATTTTTGTCATTTAGCAGACGCTGTTATCCAGAGTGACTTACAGGAGCAATTAAGGTTAAGTGCCTTGCTCAAGGGCACATAGACAGATCTTTCACCTAGTCGGCTCGGGGATTAGAACCAGCAACCTTTCGGTTACTGGCACAACGCTCTTAACCACTAAGCTACCTGCCGCCCTTACATAGGCGTACAGAGGCCCATTATCAGCAACCATCAGTCCTGTGTTCCAATGGCACGTTGTGTTTGCTAATCCAAGTTTATCATTTTAAAAGGCTAATTGATCATTAGGAAACCCTTTTGCAATTATGTTAGCACAGCTGAAAACTGTTGTGCTGATTAAAGAAGCAATAAAACTGGCCTTCTTGAGACTAGTTGAGTATCTGGAGCATCAGCAATTGTGGGTTCGATTAAAGGATCAAAATGGCCAGAAACAAATAACTTTCTTCTGAAACTCGTCAGTCTATTCTTGTTCTGAGAAATGAAGGCTATTCCATGCGAGAAATTGCCAAGAAACTGAAGATCTCGTACAACGTTGTGTACTACTGCCTTCACAGAACAGCGCAAACTGGCTCTAACCAGAATAGAAAGAGGTGTGGGAGGCCCCAGTGCACAACTGAGCAAGAGGACAAATACATAAGAGTGTCTAGTTTGAGAAACAGACGCCTCACAGATCCTCAACTGGCAGTTTCATTAAATAGTACCCGCAAAACACCAGTCTCAACATCAACAGTGAAGAGGTGACTCAGGGATGCTGACCTTAAAGGCAGAGGAAATACCTATTTTAAGAGTCTTTGAATGAATAGATTTTGCAAACCTTCTGTGAAGATTTGGGGGTGAGGACAACTGAGGATTGGAGCAAGGAGTAGAGATGGGAATAGAGATGGGACCAGGGACCTCAAAGATCAGATAGTTTTCTGATAAGATGTAAGGCATATATTTATTGAGGAGCAACAATGAGGTGCAAACCTTTTCCATGGGTTTACGATTGTGTTAATCCTCATCTCAACCCATCCTGGATCAAATAATCATCAACTCAACTCATCATCAACGCAACTCAACTCCACTCAAAGCAGACAATCTTGAGATGAGTAAACCTATTGGCACAATGACCTTCAACTGTGAAGGAACAACTGTTTGTGGGGCTAATCCACAGCACCCGTTAGACATCAGCTGTCGAGAGAGGCCTGCCAATCCTGGCACTGTAATGTCATCAGATTGCTTTCCCATGCTCTGTTTTCACGGTTCCATGGCAGTCGTGTAAATAGCTTGGCGTAATCCCTGCCTTCATGGGATTTCTCCACTCAAATGTGGATCAGTGCACCACCCTGTCAAAGCCTAGGCCCCAGTGTGTAATACCTCATATGATCCAGGGGCTCTGAGTACGGGAGGACCACTCCCTCACCATGCTAATTATAGACTCCCAGAGAGGAGAGGGCTATGGAAATAATTTAATTGCAAAATAATAAGTATTTGAGGTCTTCATTATGAAATGTGCGCTACACCATCAATCTTGTCTAGTGTGCAAAGTAGGTTATAGTAACCCCAGTCAGATATTTAGTTTGCTGGCATGATCTCATTATATGTGAAAAAGCCAATAATAAATCATCAATCTCAGGTGATCATGGTACCAATTGATGTGTGTTTGTAAAATCCAGGCCCCCAAGAAAGCAAAGAAGAGAGCAGAGGGAGCCAACTCCAATGTGTTCTCCATGTTTGAACAGGCCCAGATCCAGGAGTTCAAAGAAGTAAGTAGACCAACTTGATAAATTGCTTCTCTGAAGCTAGTTACATTTATTTTCCATTGATTTTGCCAAGTAACACAACCATAGACACATGCAGTACACAGTGGTGTGTCCAGAACATTTTGAATGGGGTGGCCAAGGTGGGGCACAGACCCAGTTTAGGAGGGCCATAACATTTTGAACCTTAATCAACGCAAGGTGAATTTTTTCTATATAAATATGATGGTTCAACTTATTAAATGCTTCAGCTTAGGCTTGGTACATTTCCCTGTTCAAATGGGAAGCCAGGCTCCCCCAAAAAAATGATTTCTCATTTGTGTCTATCCGTGTTTCATAATTTTCCTTCAATTCGCAAGTGGCTGAATCTACAGTTGAAGTCGGAAGTTTACATACACTTAGGTTGGAGTCATTAAAACTCGTTTTTCAACCACTCCACACATTTCTTGTTAACAAAGTATAGTTTTGGCAAGTCGGTTAGGACATCTACTTTGTGCATGACACAAGTAATTTTCCAACAATTGTTTACAGACATATTATTTCACTGTATCACAATTCCAGTGGGTCAGAAGTTTACATACACTAAATTGACTGTGTCTTTAAACAGCTTGGAAAATTCCAGAAAATGATGTCATGGCTTTAGAAGCTTCTGGTCGGCTAATTGACATCATTTGAGTCAATTGGAGGTGGACCTGTGGATGTATTTCAAGGCCTACCTTCAAACTCAGTGCCTCTTTGCTTAATTTCATGAGAAAATCAAAAGAAATCAGACAAGACCTCAGAAGAAAAATTGTAGACCTCCACAAGTCTGGTTCATCCTTGGGAGCAATTTCCAAACGCCTGAAGGTACCACGTTCATCTGTACAAACAATAGTACACAAGTATAAACACCATGGGACCACGCAGCCATCATACCGCTCAGGTAGGAGACGCGTTCTGTCTCCTAGAGATTAACATACTTTGGTGCGAAAAGTGCAAATCAATCCCAGAACAACAGCAAAGGACCTAGTGAAGATGCTGGAGGGAACAAGTACAAAAGTATCTACAGTAAAAACAAGTCCTATATCAACATAACCTGAAAGGCCGCTCAGCAAGGAAGAAACCACTGCTCCAAAACCGCCATTAAAAAGACAGACTACGGTTTGCAACTGCACATGGGGACAAAGATTGTACTTTTTGGAGAAATGTCCTCTGGTCTGATGAAACAAAAATAGAACCATAATGACCATCGTTACGTTTGGAGGAAAAAGGGGGTTGCTTGCAAGCCGAAGAACACCATCCCAACCGTGAAGCACAGGGGTGGCAGCATCATGCTGTGGGGGTGCCTTGGTGCAGGAGGGACTGGTGCACTTCACAAAATAGATGGCATCATGAGGAAGGAAAATTATGTGGATATATTGAAGCAACATCTCAAGACATCAGTCAGGAAGTTAAAGCTTGGTCACAAATGGGTCTTCCAAATGAACGATGACCCCAAGCATACTTCCAAAGTTGTGGCAAAATGGCTTAAGGACAACAAAGTCAAGGTATTGGAGTGGCCATCACAAAGCCCTGACCTCAATCCTATAGAAAATGTGTGGGCAGAACTGAAAAAGCGTGTGCGAGCAAGGAGGCCTACAAACCTGACTCAGTTACACCAGCTCTGTCAGGAGGAATGGGCCAAAATTCACCCAACTTATTGTGGGAAGCTTGTGGAAGGCTACCCGAAATGTTTGACCCAAGTTAAACAATTTAAAGGCAATGCTACCAAATACTAATTGAGTGTATGTAAACATCTGACCCACTGGGAATGTGATGAAATAAATAAAAGCTGAAATAAATCATTCTCTCTACTATTATTCTGACATTTCACATTCATAAAAAAAAGTGGGGATCCTAACTGACCTAAGACAGGGATTTTTTACTAGAATTAAATGTCAGGAATTGTGAAAACTGAGTTTAAATGTATTTGGCTAAGGTGTATGTAAACTTCCGACTTCAACTGTATTTCACCAGAGAAAGCATCTGAGCGAGGCAAACAGCGCCCCTCTGTCTTAGTATCTGTAGCCCATGTATCTGATGCCGTCTGACCAAAAATAATATGACATGCCATACTCTTTTTGGCCAGACCGCATCAGATACATGGCCTACACATACCAAGACAGAGGTGCGCTGTTTCGCTCGCTCTAATGCTTTCTCCGGTGAGATTGGTGAGTCTTGCTGTTGGGTGCGGGTCTTGGTCAAAATGTTCAATATATTCAGAGACGACCTATCAGAGCTCAGAATTTCTTACATAACAGGAGTATGCAAATATGCTCTGATAATACATGTACACCTACTCACCCTGTCAACCCTCAACAGGCTTTCACTATCATGGACCAAAACAGAGATGGTTTCATTGACAATAATGACCTGAGAGACACATTTGCAGCTTTGGGTAGGTTAAAGGCTCTATAGTACCCCTGTGGTCACTGCTCTTGTATGGTGGATGTGTCATGTTAACTTTGTCATCCTTAATGAAAATTTATGAGATGTTAAAGGAGGCGCCTGGACCCATTAATTTCAGTCTTACTGACTATGTTTGGAGAGAAGCTAAAAGGTGAGGAAAGGGAAAGGATGGATCCAGAGGGAGTGTACACACACAAAAAATAATTTTGTACAAGATAAATTCATGAAATTAAGAAAGTGGGATATACAGGATATAAATGGGAATATTGAATGTAAGTATGTGAGAATGGTCAACCATTACAATGCTGATATACCAACATAGATGTCATACAAAGGCTTCACTGCTCATGTGACTGATTGAAAAGGTGCTTATAGCCAGAGATAAATAGCTGGTTTAGCATAGCGTGGTCCTCTGTAGCTCAATTGGTAGAGCATGGCGCTTGTAACCCCAGGGTAGTGGGTTTGATCCCCGGGACCACCCATATGTAAAAATGTATGCACACATGACTGTAAGTTGCTTTGGATAAAAGCGTCTGCTAAATGGCATATTATTATTATACTATATCTGGCTTCATGCTGGCAGCAGATCCTGGCTTTGGCCCATCTGTCAAACTGAGATGATGCATGGGTCTGTCTGTCTGTCATCCTTTAGGCGCAGACCCAGAGGTGTAGACATTGCAGTGAAATGCTTACTTACAAGCCCATAACCAACAATGCAATTTAAGAAAAGAAAGAGAAAAAAAGCAGCAATAAAATAACAGTAGGGAGGTTATATACAGGGAGTACCGGTACAGAGTCAATGTGCGGGGGCACCGGTTAGTCGAGGTAATATGTACATGTGGGTAGAGTTAAAGTGACCATGCATAAATAATAAACAGAATAGCAGCAGCGTAAAAGAGGGGGTTGGGGTGGGGTGGGGGGACAATGCAAACAGTCCCAGTAGCCATGATTAGCTGTTCAGGAGTCAAGAAACATTAATTATTATGTGGGGTAGGGGTTAATTTATTTTTTGTTAGGGCAAATTAAGTCTAAAATGTCAAAGTGGAAATTACAAACTTTAGAAGCCTTTTTAAACCTCAAATACACTAAACGTTTGCATTTCCTGCTGTGCAAGAAAATTCTCAGCAACAAAAGAGTAATCAAATTAAGATCCTACATATGTAGACTCCTAATAACTACAACTTCTCTTCACAGTGTAACAGAGATGTTAACGACCCAGGCTGACAGGTTCTCCCGCGAAGAGGTTAGAACCACCATCACTGATATTTTGTTACATACTAAGCAAAAACACCTTCATCATCTTCTCAAACAGGCTTTGTGATCCATCCCCTCAGATGGAGCAGATGTTCACCGCCTTCCATCCAGATGTGGCTGGACACTTGGACTACAAGAATCTGTTCTACATCATCACACATGGGGAAGAGAAGGACCAGGAATAAATCCACCTCTTGCTAACTGTCCCTGCGTCTCTGCTTTTACACGTCTCCCCTGTGCATCAAAGCTACCTGGGAATGTTTGAGATGTGCATGGTCATCTTGTAAATAAAGGATTTTCAGGTTAATCATATATAATCAATTTTCATACAGGATATAGATCCAACTGTAACTAAGTATGATCTGTCCATTTGGGAAAGCTATCAGATCAATTGAACTAAAGGGGTCCTATATGTTTACCAGCCCCAGCTGGTACACATTCTAAAATCGTCTAGAGTCTAGGTTCACAACAGTTTGTATTTGTAATCTTGTTCACAAATTCCACTTTAATGTTTTGTCTTGTGAACAAGGATGTGCACTTGTAAACCTTCAAAATCAATCAATACAAATATTGCAACAAAAAAAACGAATGGTCAATTCCAATTTATGAGGTGTCAGAAATTCCTATTGGTATTGTTGCCAGACTTGCCTGCTCCCCTATCATACATCTAAGCTTGGCTATTAGTAAAATAATCAGTTTTTCTGGGGAAGAGGAAAATCACAGTAATTAAATTGTCATGTACAATCAAGTTCTACTGGAGGCTGAAAGATGTTGGGAGGAGGCTGGCACTATGGCAGCAGCCATGCACAGATGCCACGGTGTGTCACAGCTAGGAGGGTAGTATATTCTAGGCCAGCAGAGTAGACGGTAGCAGCCATCAAATCCACCCGGAAGGTTGTTCGGGCAGATTCCTTTGAAGTAGCAAGGTGGGTGTGGCTAGATCAGAGGGCATCGCTAACGGCTAACAGAGAGGCTAACGCTTATTTTGTCCCGGTAGACGGCTAATATTAGGTGTTGTTTTGTACAACACTAAGATGTTGAAGTAGTTAGCTAGGTATAATATAACGTTGTATGATAACCAAATAACAGGGTGTCACTTTCTACACGTTTTCGTTCTCTGAACCAGCAATTTAGCGAAGCTAGCCAATCGTAGCCACCAGCGTTAGCTAACCAGTACTAGATTTGCAGCTCACTCAGACATTTTTTTCTTCGTCGCCATGGCGGATGTTGACAAACTCAACATAGACAGTATCATCCAGCGTCTTTTAGAAGGTAAGGGAAGAGTCTACATCAATCGTACGTTATTTATGCAATAATATTATCTGTTTACTTTGTTAGATGACTGGTGGCAAGCCTTAGCGAGCTAACGCTTGTTGTTGACGCAGGTTGGCTCAGGCTATCGGTAGCTAGCTAAGCTAACGTTAGCTAGTAACTAGCTAACCAGCTAACATTAGTTCATGCTGTTGTTGCCCATAGCTAACTAACTAATGTTAACGTGACATCTGTCCCGGTCGTCACATTTCGAAATGTTCAGTGAAAGTAGTTAGCTAGCTAGGTAACTAACTTTACTTTAGCTACATGATCCAGGGCACTGTCTCAGTCAACTACAAGCTGCCCCAGTCAGTCAGTGAAAGATTAAGTCAATAACATGAGTAACTGATATGATGGTCAGCACTCACACCCCTATCCAGACAGCATGGCAATAAGTATGATGGCAAACTAGGTAGATAATGTATCTTTGCTTGTAGATTCATCAGGATTGTTTCATTTTTAGTCAGGGGAGCAAAGCCTGGTAAGAACGTGCAGCTGCAGGAGAACGAGATCCGAGGATTGTGCCTCAAGTCCAGGGAGATCTTTCTCAGCCAACCTATCCTTCTTGAACTTGAAGCCCCCCTCAAGATCTGTGGTGAGTAACCATCACTATTTGGTGAAAATAACTGTTACATGAAGTGTCTAATACCCCAGTGAGGGATGTGTAGAACTTGAAGTTGAAATCATTTGCCTTCTGCAGGTGACATCCATGGGCAATATTACGACTTATTGAGGCTGTTTGAGTATGGGGGCTTCCCTCCTGAGAGCAACTACCTATTTCTGGGAGACTATGTGGACAGAGGGAAGCAGTCTCTGGAGACCATCTGTCTGCTTCTGGCCTACAAAATCAAATACCCAGAGAACTTCTTCCTGCTGAGAGGAAACCATGAGTGTGCCTCCATCAACAGAATATATGGATTCTATGATGAGTGTGAGTGATATGTGGTGGCTGTAATAATCATAACCCTGCACTCTCTGACAGAATACAGCCTTTGTATCTACATAGATTGCATTTTGTTATAAGTTCCTGTCATATGCATTGCCTAGCTTACTATAATCCTAAAATATGTTATTATTTTTCTTCTAGGTAAAAGAAGGTACAACATCAAGCTCTGGAAAACATTTACAGATTGCTTTAACTGCCTCCCTATTGCTGCCATTGTTGATGAGAAGATCTTCTGTTGCCATGGAGGTAGGTTGCGTTTTAGTAGTCCTAAAACATGAAGAGAAGTGGTCCTGTTTTAGGACACACTAAGACAATGCTGTGATATTGAGAAATGTTATTTTATTTCAATTGTCTCCTGCCCATTTACCCACAAGTTCTTACTGGAATTAATCTTATTCCTGGTGTTCATCTCCTTCTGTGTCTCTCAGGGTTGTCACCAGACCTCCAGTCCATGGAGCAGATCAGGCGCGTCATGCGGCCCACCGACGTCCCCGACCAGGGCCTCCTGTGTGATCTGCTCTGGTCAGATCCAGACAAGGATGTCCTCGGCTGGGGAGAGAATGACAGGGGCGTCTCATTCACTTTTGGCTCAGAAGTGGTGGCAAAGTTCCTGCACAAACATGACTTGGATCTGATCTGTCGCGCCCATCAGGTATGTCTCCTTACATTCAGTAAAGTGTTCAGATCAGTACTGTACTCTCTGGAGTTTAATGCATTGTTTTTATTTTTAACCCAACTATAATCAATGTTGTTTTTTCGGCAGGTTGTTGAGGACGGCTATGAGTTCTTCGCCAAGCGACAGCTTGTGACTTTATTCTCAGCACCCAACTACTGCGGGGAGTTTGACAATGCTGGTGCCATGATGAGTGTGGATGAGACCCTCATGTGCTCTTTTCAGGTGAGTATTTCATCATGAATGTACGGTCTTATCGCAGGGATGTAAATGTGTCAGTGATTGTATTAGTGCAAGTGTATGCAGGTCTTAACGCTATAACCAATCTCGTCATTATGTCAAACTGTACGATGTAAAGACCATTGCAGTGGGCAAAACATCTTAAGGTTGGATTATTTGTATTCTTGTAGATTTTGAAGCCAGCTGAGAAGAAGAAGCCAAATGGTAGCCGTCCAGTCACACCCCCACGGAACATGGTCACCAAGCAAGGCAAGAAATAAGGTGGCATGAGTGGAATTATGTCCTGCTCCCCGTTCTGCTTTTGTTTTTTTGCATCTGAAGGGTTGGTTGCCCTTTGCTGCCAATACTGAAAAGATATCCACTCCAACCTGATGAAAGCAAAATGTTTTGTTGTTTTGTCCACAAGGGTAAATGGATATGTCACCATGAAAACCTCAGGTGTTTTGCACTCCATTGCAACTAGTCTTTGCCACATATGACTGTTCAACCAGGAACAATGTAACAATATGGCTGATAATGCACAGAAATGCCTTGTTTGAAGCTGTGCAGAGTTGTTTTCCCAATTTCTTCATTTCATTTCATCAATTTCTGTCACCACCTGTTTCTCACTGTCAATGTCAATAATGCAATTAATGGTTCTTAAACAACTATGGAAATATCACAAGACACTTAGTTGTTTATTTCTGTATAACTTTCTTTATCATATGACATTGAATCCTCACTCTGCACCTGCATCATCACCATTTTTAGAACAAGTCTTGTGCTGAATTAAATTAAGAAATAAAGCGTTCTTGTAATGTTGACTAAATCTTTCTAATAAACTTTTAGGGGGAAATTGGCATTTGAATTTGATTTCTTAGCATCATGCTCTTTCACCAATTATTTGAGGATTACAAGGTAAGCTCAACCTTGAATTAATTACTGCCATATATTGTGTACTAGCTACTACGTGATGTGAAAGACACTTATGGACTAAAGCAGCCTTACATTACGCCTTATAGTCCAAGGACCTTACATGTTCTGTTTAGAGGGGAATTGTTCTGGCAGCCAAAACAGCCAAATACTACATCTAAATGTGAAATCGATTCTGTTGCCCGACGGTTCTAGAAACATAAAGCCTTCATCACATCACAATCATTTCAAAATATACACTTACTGTACCACTGTTTTAACAGTTGGAGCTGACCGTATTTTTCGGTGTCAGCACGTTTGGGGTGTCAGTCTTCCATTTACACACAGGTGTTCACTGACGCAAATGGCTAATTAGCACAGGTAGTCAACTTTGTCTTCCGTCCGTTTTCTATAAATAAGCGCTGTGACATGGAACTATGGCTGTGTAATGTAACCTTTATTTTGTATTATTTCTTGCTGATATGAAAGATAAGCAGGGTGCGAATTACGGGGGAGTCGGGGGGGCTCAGCTCCCCTGAATGCAACAAAAGTCAAACTCTAAATAATGCTAATTTAACCATTCTCCTATTTGTTTAAAATGCATTGGTAAATATGTTTTACAGTGATAAATATGAAAATAAAAGCTTCCAAATGAAACGAACACCACCTCTCTGTCATGGTTTAAACAATTTATTTCTACGTGGCTGCACGTACAGTCTCCCTTTCCACGGCGCTGTCCACTCAGTAGTGCTGAATTTGGCCTCACCTGAGCTCCTTCAAACGCATCATTTTCCTTTGTACACTGAACAAAAATATAAAAGCGACATGCAACAATTTCAAAGATTTTACTGAGTTACAGTTCATATAAGGAAATCAGTCAATTGAAATAAATAAATTAGGCCCAAATCTATTGATTTCACATGACTGGGAATACAGATATGCATCTGTTGGTCACAGATACCTTGGCTGTGCGAAGTTGCTGGATATTGTCAGGAACTGGAACATGCGGTCGTACACGTTGATCCAGAGCATCCCAAACATGCTCAATGGGTGACATGTCTGGTGAGTATGCAGGCCATAGAAGAACTGGGACATTTTCAGCTTCCAGATCCTTGCGACATGGGGCCATGCATTATCATGCTGAAACATGAGGTGATGGCGGCGGATGAATGGCACGACAATGGGCCTCAGGATCTCATCACGGTATCTCTGTGCATTCAAATTGCCATCAATAAAATGCAATTGTGTCCATAGCTTATGCCTGCCCATACCATAACCCCACCATGGGGCACTCTGTTCACAACGTTGACATCAGCAAACCGCTCGCCCACATGACGCCATAAACAATGTCTGCCATCTGCCTGGTACAGTTGAAACCGGGATTCATCTGTGAAGAGCACACTTCTCCAGCATGCCAGTGGCCAACGAAGGTGAGCATTTTCCCACTGAAGTCAGTTACGACACCAAACTGCAGTCAGGTCAAGACCGTGGTGAGGACGACGAGCACGCAGATGAGCTTCCCTGAGAGGGTTTCTGACTGTTTGTGCAGAAGTTCTTTGGTTCTGCAAACCCACAGTTTCATCAGCTGTCCTGGTGGCTGGTCTTAGACAATCCTGCAAATGAAGAAGCCGGATGTGAAGGTCCTGGACTGGCAAGGTTACACGTGGTCTGCGGTTGTGAGGCTGGTTGGACGTACTGACAAATTCTCTAAAACGACATTGGAGGCGGCTTTTGGTAGCGAAATGAACATTAAATTCACTAGCAACATCTCTGGTGGACATTTCTGCAGTCAGTATGCTGATTGCACACTCCCTCAAAACTTGAGACATCTGTGGCATTGTGTTGTGTCACAAAACTGCACATTTTATAGTGGCCTTTTATTGTCCCCAGCACAAAGTGCACCTGTGTAATGATCATGCTGTTTAATCAGCTTCTTGACATGCCACACCTGTCAGGTGGATGGATTATTTTGGCAAAGGAGAAATGCTCACTAACAGGGATGTAAACAAATTTGTGCCCAAAATTTAAGAGAAATAAACGTTTTGTGCCTATGGAAAATGTTGAATAAGATTAAGGGTGAGACACAGCCAGTTGAATAAGACATTAAAATGATAGGAAAGCATCCATCAGGAAAGTGTGATTATTGTCATGAAATAGAGACTGTGGAGCATGTATTGCTACAGTGTGGGCAGTATCAGAGGGAAATAGAGAGGATGAGATTTAGTATGAGGGAGAAGGGGATACGGGAAATTAGTTTAAAGAGTATATTGAGCAGAACGTCATTAGATATAGTCTTAAATATTTTGTTATCTTTTTTAAGAGAAACAGGGTTGGCAGGTAGGATAAGGACTCCTGTAGCTCAGTTGGTAGAGCGTGGCGCTTGCAACGCCAGGGTTGTGGGTTCGATTCCCACGGGGGGCCAGTATGAAAAATGTATGCACTCACTAACTGTAAGTCGCTCTGTATAAGAGCGTCTGCTAAATTACTAAAATGTAAAATGTAGGATTTAGTTTCTCCCTGTCTCTGGCCCACATTCCAGTACGGTAGGTGGCGGTAATGTACCATAATGTTGGATGCCAACCGCCGATAAACCCCACAGAAGAAGAAGAAGTAGAAGTAATGAGATGGACGTCAGCAGTCACAAGACAACCACGGAGTAGATCCATCTGGCTCAATCTCCCAGCAGCGCTGTTGCAGGTTTGTGTGTTATGTGGGCTGTTCTACAGGCGCGGTGGCTGTAACGAACTTGGAACATCTCTTGGGATCTGGATGTGTGATATCCGTCGAACTACGGCACTGTTGGCACTAAATTTGCAAGAACTCTTCAGACTAAAGAATACAAGTCTCGTGTGGGGGCGTTATCACATCAGCTTGCGCGCGGCTTTGTCTGTGCGTGGCTAATGTTATTGTCAGGCTATCTAGCTGACTAGTCCAAGCATCACAGTAGCAAGTCAAGATTGTGTGGTTACATCCGCGCTAGCTTGGCACTTTAGTGGGAGCTGGTGTGTAGGTGATGTTCTCCGTACTTTCGTACGGTAGACTTGTTGCCAGAGCTGTCATTGGCGGACTCTCTCAAACAGATAGCCGTGACTACAGCCTGGTAACTGCAAGCTGCGGTTTTGGGAAAGATTCTCGCAAGGGTATCTTGAAGAAAGGGATGTGCTACGGCGACGACGCTTGCTTTATTGCCCAACATAGATCTGCCGATGTTTTGGGTGAGTTGTAATCTGTCAGGTTGTTTAGCTTGCTAGCTAACGTTAGCTAACAGGACAGTGCACATTTGCTAGCTAGTTTGTAACCTTAGTGTTGCATATTGTCAAACAATAACAAACCAGGGACACTAAACATGTATTTTTGCTTGATAATGACAGATGCACAATTACTATGTACATTGAGTCAACTAGCTATTCGCTTAGTTTCAAGCCAAGAAAAAATTTACTACTTACTGTTATCTGCCATCATTGCCAACCCATTAGTATCAGCCTTGTCCTGCTGCCCTTTGAGGTGTCCTAGACGTCAGAGCTGCCTGTAGTAGTTTGAGAGTTGTAATGATATTGAGCAGCCATAACCATTACACGTTAAGAAATAGATTAGACAGATTGAGAGTATTGGCAATTGTTTAGGACTTCAAATAAAATGTTATTCGATAGTTAGATACAGTGCATTTGGAAAGTATTCAGACCCCTTGACTTTACACATTTTGTTACGTTACAGGCTTATTCTAAAATGGATTTTAGAAAAATAATAATCCTCAATCTACACACAATACCTTTGGCAGCGATTACAGCCTGGAGTCTTCTTGGGTATGACGCTACAAGCTTGGCACACCTGTATTTGGGGAGTTTCTCCCATTCTTCTCTGCATATCCTCTCAAGCTCTGTCAGGTTGGATGGGGAGCGTTGCTGTACAGCTATTTTCAGGTCTTTCCAGAGATGTTAGATCGGGTTCAAGTCCGGGCTCTGGCTGGGCCACTCAAGGACATTCAGAGACTGGTCCTGAAGCCACTCCTGCATTCTCTAGGATGTGTGCTTAGGGTCGTTGTCCTGTTGGAAGGTGAACCTTCGCCACAGTCTGAGGTCCTGAGCACTCTGGAGCAGATTTTCATCAAGGATCTCTCTGTACTTTGCTCCGTTCATCTTTCCCTCGATCCTGACTAGTCTCCCAGTCCCTGCCGCTGAAAAACATCCCCACAGCATGATGCTGCCACCACCATGCTTCACCGTAGGGATAGTGCCAGGTTTCCTCCAGACGTGACGCTTGGAATTCAGGCCAAAGAGTTCAATCTTGGTTTCATCAGACCAGAGAATCTTGTTTCTCATGGTCTGAGTCCTTTAGGTGCCTTTTGGTAAACTCCAAGTGGACCGTCATGTGCCTTTTTACTGAGGAGTGGCTTCCGTCTGGCCACTCTACCATAAAAGCCTGATTGGTGGAGTGCTGCAGAGATGGTTCTCCCATCTCTGCAGAGGAACTCTGGAGCTCTGTCAGAGTGACCATCGGGTTCTTGGTCACCTCCCTGACCAAGGCCCTTCTCCCCGATTGCTCAGTTTGGCAGGGCGGCCAGCTCTAGGAAGAGTCTTCTTCCATTTAAGAATGATGGAGGCCACTGTGTTCTTGGGGACCTTCAATGCTGCAAAATTGTTTTGGTACCCTTCCCCAGATCTGTGCCTCGACACAATCCTGTCTCAGAGCTCTACAGACAATTCCTTCGACCTCATGGCTTGGTTTTTGCTCTGACATGCACTGTCAACTGTGGGACCTTATATAGACAGGTGTGTGCCTTTTCCAAATCATGTCCAATCAATTAAATGTACCACAGGTGGACCCCAATCAACTTGTAGAAACATCAAGGATGATCAATGGAAACAGGATGCACCTGAGCTCAATTTCGAGTCTCATAGCAAAGGGTCTGAATACTTATGTAAATAAGGTATTTAAGCATTTATTTTTTATAAATGTGCGAAAAAATCTACAAACCTGTTTTCGCTTTGTAATTATGGGGTATGGTGTGTAGATTCATGAGGAATTTGTATTTATTTAATCCATTTTAGAATAAGACTTTAACGTAACAAAGTGGAAAAAGTCAAGGGGTCTGAATACTTTCCGAATGCACTATGTACACACACTGA